GGCTAGTGCTCTACCACTGAGCTACATCCCAGGTTCTTGAATTATAACTCATGGAACAATTTACCCAAAAAGAGGTGATTAAGATTGACCAGAGGGGCTGGGTTTGTGGCTCAGTGGTATAGCATTTGCCTAATATATGCAGGGCATTAGGTTCAATCCTCAGCATCACATAAAAATGAATAAATAAAGTTTAAAAAAAAAACATTGACCTGAGGATAGTCAGAACATACACTACTTATGTAGATAGGAAATACATGGTGGATGTCAAGCAAGTGGGATCAAGTCCTGGGCTGAGGTCATACAGCTGTATGACCTCAGGCACCTTTGCCTTCTGTGCTTCAGGTGCCCTTATCTATAAAATGGGGGTGATGGAAAGTAGATCTTAGGATTGTTGAATACTAAGTGAATATAGATAAAGTGTTTAGAAGAGTAGGTTACAAATACATAGTTGGACTTTACAAAGTGGCAGATTAATTTATAATAATTAAATCACTAAATAAAAGAGCAAAACAAGTCCTTGTTAGAAGAAAAGTTCCCAAAGTGGCGAGATGAGTACCTGACAAGAATGCTGTAGAGAGCTGGACACGGTGGTGCATGCAGCTTGGGAGGCTGAGGCAGGAGGATCAAGAGTTCAAAGCCAATGTCAGCAATTCAGCAAGGCCTTAAGCAACTCTGTGAGACCCTGACTCTGAATAAAATACAACAACAAAAAAGCCGGGGATGTGGGTCAGTTGTTAAGTATACCTGGGTTCAATCCCCGGGTAGAAAGAAGGAGAGAGAGAGAGCGAGAGCGAGAGAGAGCGAGAGAGAGGGAGAAAGCGAGCAAGCAAGCAAGCTGTAGAGGTGCTGGGGATACAGCTCAGTAGTAGTGTGCCTGCTTAGCATGTTCAAGGTTCTGAGTTCAATTCCCCTCACCACCACCACCACACATATACACACATGCACACACACACACACACAAAAAAAAAAAAAACTGTAGAAAGATCTCCTTTGATAAGAAGGGTGATTAGATAGTCTCATAAGAACTAAGATTCTTTGTTAGTCTAATTATATTCCGAGTGATTTAAGTTATATTTCAGCTTATGGAATAACCTATAGAAAAATTTGATTTTTATTATACCACAAGGCCATAAGAACTTTTTTTTTAAACTGGGATTGAACTCAGGAGCACTTTACCACTGAGCCACATCCATAACCCTTTTAATTTGTCTAATTTTGAGACAGGGTCTTGCTAAATTGCTTGGGGCCTTGCTAAATTGTTCAGACTGGCCTTGAACTTGTAATCCTCCGCCCTTGGTCTCCTGGTATTCATAAGTACTTTAATGGTGGTATTCATAAGTACTTTTTGCAGATTGTAGAACCCTCAGACTAAAGTTAAATGACATCAAACCAAATGAACAAAACAAGCTGGGAAGAATTTTGATATGTTAACTCACTTTTGAATAGCAAAGTAAAAGAGATCCAGAAATGTAACATTATTTACCATAGGAAAAGTGACCTCAAAAAGGTGGGAAAAAATGCCTCTTTGCTACAACTCATCTCAAGAGGCTCTTTGCTACAACTCATCTCAAGAGAATACAAAAAGCCAAGTACAGTAGCACACACCTGTAATCCCGGTGATTTAGAAGGCTGAGGTAGGAGGATTGAAAGTTCAAGGCTAGGTTCAGCAACTTAGGGAGGTCCTGTCTCAAAAATAAAAATTAAAAAGGGCTGGGGATGCGGGTCAGTGGTTAAGGGTCCATGGGTTCAATCCCTGGTGTGTGTGTGTGTGTGTGTGTGTGTGTGTGTGTGTGTGTGTGTGTGTGTATGAGAGGGGGGGGAGAGAACATAAGAACACGTCTGTAATTATAGTGACTGGGGAGATTGAGGCAGCAGGATCCAAAGTTGGAGGCCAGCCTCAGCCTCAGCAATTTAATAAGGACGTGTCTCAAGATAAAAAAACCAAAGAGGGCTGGGGACTGTAGGTCAGTTGTAAATCACCCCTGGGCTCAATCTCCAACACACATAGACAAAAAACACAGAAGAAAATTCCAAAATGGGCATTTCACTTAAAGTTAGATGATTCCATCAACACAGAGCTATCTGACTCTATATGGATATATAAAATTCTAATATTGGTCAGACACAAAACTTACAAGTGGCTGAATTTGTTGTTAAAAGTACATTTCCTAGACACAATCTTAAGTGTTAATACTGCAATGTAACATACATACAAAAAGAACACATATGTTAAGTGTACAATTTGAATTTTTACAAACTAAACAAACTCATGCCACCAGCACTTAACTTTTTTTTTGGCGGGGGGGACTGGGGATTGAACTCAGGGTCACTTGAGCACTGAGCCATATCCCCAGCCCTATTTTGTATTTTATTTAGAGACAGAGTCTCACTGAGTTGCTTAGAGCCTCCACGTTGCTGAGGCTGGCTTTGAACTCGTGATCCTCCCATCTCAGCCTCCTGAACTGCTAGGTTTACAGGCTTGAGCCACCATGCCTGGATAGCACTTAAATTAAAAAAAATTAAGCATTGTTTTTTTTTT